ATAATTTTGATAACAAACTAAGTTAACTCAATGAATTGATTTAAGTTTGAATCAATTTCACTGAATTTTGTTAAAAAAAATTATTTAGTAGTTTAAATTTTGCATAAATATTATCTTTATTTAAGATATATTATATATATATTTTAAAATGAATTTTTTATTGAATGAGACTATTTTGATTAGAGATAACAATGAGATCTCATAAGGATAGGTAACACGATATCTATATTTATCCTGTCATATAAAAATTTGTCTTGTACCTGTTTTATATCTTTGCAGATATCTATTTAATGAGTATCTACAAATTTTATAAATATTTGTGAGTATTTATGAATATTTATGAATGCTCTTAAAAATTAAAAAATATTATAAATAACTTCAAGTTTATATATTTAATGTTAAATATATTGAAATGTTTAAGATAAATAATTAATATAAATTTTTAAATTTGTAATTAATAATAATTTTTTTAAAATATTAAAATTATAAAATATAAATATAAATATTTAAATAATATTATTTAGTAAATATTTGACAAATATGAATACTACTACTTCTGTTATCATCTCATTTATAAATAGATAAAAAATATATATACTCGTTGTTTATTAATATCTATTTAGACTATTTATTTATTATTTATAATAGATTTTATTCACTAAATACTGGATACTCATAATTTTTGTCATTCCTAATTTTGTTTTGATTAAATCATATTATAATACTATAAATTAACTTTTTAAATCATATAAATAAATAAAGAGGTGAAAAGATTAAAATTTAAAAAAATTAAATTTGATGATTTGTTTTGATAATTTGGTAAACAATTGTTTCTCGATAATTAAAATATAACCTTTCCCCTGTATTGAACGGACGGGACAAAGATATTTTAGAGTAACAACAAGTCAGGAGAAAGGTGTGGAGGAGTTTGGACCACGTAAGTTCTTAAGGATAAGAGCAATGACCTTATTTATTTTATTGTTTTTTCTTATTTAAAGACGGTGCTTTTCTTTCTGTGGACCGATGTGATACTATGTCGGATGTTGGCAGCTTCTAGTAGAGTCCCAGTACACGTTTATCTCATAATTGGATGGGTGAAGGTTAAAATTAAATTAAAGGACTAAAATGATAGACTTAATAAGTAATATATAAGGAAAAAATAAAATAAATAAAAATAAGTGAATGAATGTAGTTCTCCCTTTCAAGTTTCAAGTATTTGTTTTTCTAGATTCGGTACATCTGGTTTTTTGACATTTTGTTCCTCCTTCTTGACTATAAGAAAAGGGTATCAGGAGCGTGTTTAGGTTTTTATAGTTATTTTATATATAAAAAAAAAGTAATTTTAAAACATTATATATTTTTTATTTAATTTAAATTTCAGAAAAAATTAAGTAATGTTAATTTTGAAGAAACAAATATTTTATTCTTATGATAAAAGTAGAGCTGTCAAAATGGGCTTGACCCGGCGAGCCAACTCGGCTCACCACGGGTTCGAGCCGGGTTGGGTTAAAATTTTTTTGAAAATTTTAATACGGGTCAAATTTGAACCCGGCTCGCCACCAACCCGGCTCACCCGGGTTGAATCCGTGGTGAGCCGGGCTGGCCCACCAACTCGTGATTAAATTTTTTTTTTTGAAAAAATACAATAATTATTGGGTCATGGTGTAGTCCAACATGAGACAATAATAATTTAATGTTGGATTGTGATTTGTAATTTTTGTGATTTTGGATTGTATTTGAAGTTTAAGATAATTTTAAATTATATTTATCTATTTGAGATTATTTAGATTTGATTTAATTGTATTTAAAATTATTATTTA